GTAGTATCGCGTAGAAAATGTAGTGCTTTGGCAGGGCTTTCATTTGTGTTCAAGTTATTCATGTGAAGAGGCTTTGAGTGATTATGGCCGCACGACGAGAATTAACAGACTTTGAACGCGGAATGGTAGTTGGAGCTAGACGCATGGGTCATTCCATTCCGGATATCGGTAGGGAATTCAACATTCCGGATCCACCACAGTGTCAAGAGTGTGCCGAGAGTATCTAATTTCGGGCATAACATCCCACCATGGACAGCGCAGTGGCCGACCACCTTGCCAGTGTTCACAGACAAGCAACACTGCGTCAAATAACCGCAGAAATCAATGTGGGACGTACGAGGGACGTGTCCGATAGGACAGTGCGGCGAAATTTGTCTTCCTTGGGCTATGCCAGCAGAAGACCGACTCAAGTGCATTTACTGACAGCACGACATCGCCTGCAGCGACTCTCGTGAGCTCGTGAGCAAATCGGTTGGTCCCTAAACGAATGGAAAACCGTGGCTTGGTCAGATGAGTCACGATTTCAGTTGGTAAGAGCTGATGGTAGGGTTCGAGTGTGGCGCAGACCCCACGAAGCCATGGACCCAAGTTGTCAACAAGGCACTGTTCAAGCTGGTGGTGGTTCCATAATGGTCTGGGCTGTTTTTACATGGCATGGACTCGGTCCTCTGGTGCAACTGAACCGATCATTGACTGGAAATGGATACCTTCAGCTACTTGGAGATCACTTACAGCCATTCATGGACTTCACGTACTGAAACAACGATGGGAGTTTTATGGATGACAATGCGCCATGTCACCGGGCCACAATTGTTCGCGATTGGTTAGAAGAACATTCTGGACAATTCCAGCGAATGATCTGGCCACCTAGATCGCCCGACATGAATCCTATCGAACATTTATGGGACATCACCGAGAGGTCAGTTCGTGTCCAAAACCCTGCACCGTCAACACTTTCACAACTATGGACGTCTATACAGGCAGTATGGCTCAATATTCCTGCAGGGGACTTCCAAAGACTTGTTGAGTCCATGCCACGTCGAGTTGCTGCCCTTCGCCGGGCAAAAAGAGGACCGAAAAAATATTAGGAGGTATCCCATGACTTTTGTCACTTCAGTGTATATATATATACAAATTCAGCTGAGCAAATATTTCAGTCAATTTTGTCCTGATTCTAATATTATTGGAAACCGGGCTGGAACAAACATTAAACTTTTTAATAATTTAAAATTAATTTAAAAAGCAATTTATATAGAAGACCAAATGACTAAAAGATAAGAAGAAATCACATATTCTGCTGAGTATTCAAATTAAGTATTCAAATTAGTAGTTGGTCGAACCGCCCCTGGCGGCAATGCATGCTTGAATTCTTCGAGGCAAGGAGTGGTAGAGGTTCCGAATGTCATCCTGCGACACATTCTGCCAGGCATTCATCAGTTTTCGCTCCAAATCTGCGATATTTCGTGCTGCCCGAATCTGGCGGCCTACCATATCCCAGACATGCTCGATTGGTGAAAGGTCTGGTGAGCTCGCTGGCTAAGGAAGAGTATCAACCGCATGAACACAGTCCAGTGATATGCGAGCGGTATGTGGCCTGGCATCATCTTGTTGGAAGATGGCCTCAGGATGACGTGCCATGAAAGGTAATGCAACCGGCTGCAGGATGGTATCAACATATCGTTGAACTGTTAAAGATGTACGGAGGATAACTAAAGATGACCTGCTGTCATAAGAAATAACGCCCCACACCATCACACCAGGCGTTATGGCTGTATGCCTTTGTGAAACAAAGTCTGATTGGGACCGCTGGCCCCGGTCCTCTCCAGACACGAACACGGTGGTCATCTGCTGAGTGAAGCGGTATTAATCGCTGAACACTAGACGATGCCAGTCTGATGGCAGCCATGATGATCGTTGCCGACACCACTCCAGACGACTCCGCCGATGTTGTGGGGTCAAAGTCAAACGTCTTAAAGGCCTCTGTCAGCGTAACCCCGCCTCAGACAAGCGCCGTGAGATAATGGACGGTACAACGGGAGGTATAGACGTGGCTGTAGTGCGTTGAATAGTCGACAATGATACCTTCAGAGCGGTTTGGGCCTGCGAACAATCATCCTATCTTGCCTTGCATTTGTGATCCTTGGCCTTCCAGAACCTTCAATTCGTCGGCAGTTTCCTTGTAGCAATCATTGCGCCAACATCTTTGCACAGCAGTGTGTGTACGCTGCAGGTGGCAGCCTATTACTCGGTATGACCACCCAGCTTCACGCAACGCTACAATGCGACCACGTTCGAAGTCGTTTAGTTGTCTGTAAGGTCTTCGATATCGTCGTAATGGCATCTTTAGTTGCTTCTTTACGGAATTACAATGGCAGCAACAAAAAGAAATAACTTTTCCGCCTCTGTTACTGGTTTTGTACTTTGCGAATTGCGCACTAGAAATGCGCGCTATGATCGCAGTTCCTGTTCATTTGGCTTGAAACTTTCATCATTTGCATGTTCGATCAAGATATTCTTGCATATCAAATTTCGTCGCGATCGCAAAAGTCCTTTTTGCTGCTTCGATTTTTTTTACAAAAGAGTATATGTTAACCCTTTGTAGTCGAGAGGTAACTTTCGGTGACTACTTTATTTGATGCGATAACTCGAAAGGAATTGTCGGTCACCACTGGATTTGATGTATTAACTGAAGAGACGACTTTCGGTCACCACTCGAATTTGACGCAATCATTCGAGCGGTAACTAAGATTATTTTTGTTTGGTGTGGGCAGTATCGCTTCATGAGTATAGTCAATAATGCATGCGTATAAAACAACTGCCAGTCCTTAATCTTAACTACGTTTTTTAAATTTATTATTATATATGCATCTTCGATATTACTTCGAACTCGAAAGTCGTGGCAACAGAAATATTATTTTCTAAGTTACGGACCCCTATAAGCATGGGATACAATGAAAGAATCAGTTCAACTGAACATGAGTTCGATTTTTCGTTGATGAAGAACGAAATTACGTATGTGTACAGATTACTTAATTAGACTACTTAATCATAGCGAGGAGGAAAAAGTGATAAAGATTGCTAAGAAGTATGAGGTATAAGAAAGCGAAAAGTCAGCCTAATAGATGGGGAAATTTGAAAACGACATTGATAACGCAGAAGAGACAGGAAATTCAAACGGATAATGTGCGCAGAACCCGAAGAAATACCGTAAAGAATACCTTTTATATCCAGCGAAAGAACCGCAGGACAGCAAGTATCTTCAGACGTAAAAAAACCATTATATTTTTATGAAATCATTTTAAGCTAGCTGTAAGAAATTCACCAAATAATGGGGAAAATCGTTTCCAGTTGCTGTTTCGCCCGAGCGAAAAAGGCCTTGAATGCAAAGGGTTAACTTATATTGTCCCTTCCCATAAGTATCTTAAAATCTATTTTTAATGTTTATAAGAATCATCAGTCATCTTTTATTATTTGTATTTAATTATCATTTTATACATTGGACCAAAAATTACCTATTCTTGCAACTTCGGATAAAGCTCATTCCTGAAAGTAAGTCCTTTTTTTTCTGGTTCCGGGAGTTCCTGGTCTCTTAACGAGGTTTGATTCCAATATTTTTTTTCGTTCAGTAATTAGCATATGAAAAGCCAAATACATTACGAATCGAACCCTTGAAATGATTTATTTTATTTCATATTTAAATTCAAATAACTTTACAATATAATTTACATTTATATGTTAGTGTGTGTTGAGAGGAACTGCTTAAAAAAATGATAAAACTCTGTAGAATGCTAATAGCAAATCTGTTGTTAAATATATGTATAAATTATTCATTCTCAGCGCTATTTACCACTTTCACCCAAACTAAAATTTCGAAGTAAAGTAATTTGTTAACGCCTATAGCAAATTTCGTTTCGTTAGCATGCTTTTAATTCAAAATTTCATCGAGTTTAATGGGATAGGATTTTCTTCGCAAAAAAATGGGCACATTGTTGAGAGTCTTCGTCTAAATTATGATGCAAGGTACTTAATTTAGATGTTTTATTCCCCTCTTTCTGATCGAATGCTTTTGATATTAAAAATTTTTACAAAAGAAAAACAAATATTTATTCATTACGAAGAGACGTGCGAGTGAAAGAGATTTACGGGATTTAAATAAGAGCAGAGATTATTTTCTATTTAAAAAAAGAATCTTCAGTCTTCACGGATATGTAACTTTTATGAATATGTTTTAATGAATATACGTTTTGGAAGGTATAGGCGGTGAATGAAGTGAAAGCTGAAATTAATATGATTTTTTTTAAATTCAAACTTTGATTTCATTTATGTTTTCAGGTACACATTTTTTTAAAACAAGAATCGTCTTCAAAACTTGGCGATTTTTTCTGAAATGCTATGTCATTTATTACAAAAATTCTATGAAATATTTTCTGTTTTCAATTTATAAAATCATTTCCATTAAAAGGAATGGGATGTTCTTTGAGTTACTTTAATGTCATTCAGAGCACATTCCATATAATGAGCTTTAACGATTGCCAATCGTAAAGTTTCGGTCATCACTGGAAACAATTCCTAAATATTTAAATATTATACAACAGGAACAATATGCGAAGATTTTCAAGATCTTTTGGCAAAGACTAGATATGGTCCTAAACAAATTTTATATCATAGAATGTATGTTGGAAGATTATTTCCTTTAAAAAATATCACGAGAAAGAAATGTCATGATAGTGTCTCTTCTGGAGAAATTGAGGGATAGAAAAAAGGCCTATAAATTGAATAACGTGTTTTATTTTACAGTCTAGGAATTACCTATGTATTGTTGATGTCACTAACATACATCTTGCATATCGACCGAAAACTCTGTACTCATTGGAGACGCAAAAAGAATTCACCTATCTTAAATTCCTTGAAAGTTTATTGTCCTTCCGAAGTAGGCGAATACAAGCGGCCACATAGAAATGCTGGGTTTTCCAATCCTGTTTCCATTTTTCTTCCCTTAGGCATTTTGTTCATGCTTGGCTTGGTGCTTTATCCTGCCGGATGGGGAAGTCGACGCATCCAAATGGTTTGCAGCAGCAAAGTAGGACCGTACTACATTGGGGACTGTTCCATAGGTAAGGACGTTTTATTATCCAGAACGGAAAATATTGTGATTACTTGTTGGTAGAAATCATTGCTTACAGCTTTGTCTTACAAAACAGAACCAACATATCCGACTTAGGTTGAGGAAAGTTACTACCTTTTTGGGGAATCTTTCAGTAATTTCTCACAAACAGATGTTAAATAACCACAAACGGATGTTAAATAAGAATAATTGACAAAATAATAATAAAGTATGCGAATACAAAATAATGAAATTTCGACAGCGATAAATCATAAGAAAATCATAAAGGTAATATGATGATAAAAGGCTTCTAATCTAAAATTAAACCTTTAATAATTCCTTCTTGTAGTAGCAGAAATTGTTCAAGGTTGCCTTCTTTATAGATAAAGCTAAAGCAAAAAGGATTTTCTATTTTACTCATAAAATATTTTCTAGTTCACGTAATGAAAAGTACCCTAAAGATATATATGAAAAACTTAAAATGGTAAATTTCAAAGGAAAAGTTATACGTACAAAATACAGTTGACTGTATTATGGTTTGTAAATTTTGTTACGTGACATGAGCACTGTAATTTTTGTTTCTTCAAATATCTGAAAATAATGAAAATACTTGGAATATAGATTTCCCTTTGCTTCTGCCCCCCATCGGTTATATAATTTTTAAAATTTTAGAATTTAGTTTATGAAACATACTAAATCTCAATATCAAGTGGTTCTAAAATTACATAACTACGTATACACATGTGTAGGAATTTCTCATATTTAATTTAGCAGTCTGATATAATTAACATTATATTCATTTTAAGAAAAATATTTATAAACCTAAAGATATGCAAACTGATATTTGTTATGTGAATTATATATAAATTTATTTCAAACAGAGTTAAGAAATGCCATTATTTTTATGATTTCACTTATTATTACATTGCCACTACTTAAAAATATTATTAAGACTCACAAGAAAATCTTGCGTTATTCGCAAATAACAATTTTAGGAAAAGCGTATACGCTTTTCTTCTGAATCTTGTTCATGTATATGAAAAGAGCATAACTTATATTCTAATAAAAGTTTTGTATCTGAATATTGTAACATAACCGTATAACTTATTATCGTGGTTCTTTTCTGCCACATCTGTTACTATTATGATATTGTTGCGTGCGTACGGGTTCGTAATAGATTAAGTGCACAAGTCAAATACAGAGTTAATATTTTTTTTTATTCTTATCACAAGAGAAATATAACAAAACGCTCGATTTTTTCCCTCAAAGATATTCGTACAATATCGCAATATAACACAATATTACGCAGTAGTTATATTTTAAACTACTAAAACGTTCAATTGAACGCAATGCAAAGCTCAGAGAAAGATATTCCGATCTCAAAATTACCGCAGCTAAGTAAACAATAACAACTGAGTGAACAACTAAACTGAGATATTTCTGAGTGAGCAACTGAACTGAGATGTTTCTCTCCGGCTTTTTAAAGCACTTTAATCAGTTATGAGAAGGTTCTCGTAATTTCTGTTTTCTCGAGTTTTCTGAAAACAAAAGAGTAGAATTACGTGATATCTATTTATTAAATGTTAAATGCGCGTGCTCCTGTATTTTTACTTTTCTAACGTAGCTTTCTCTTAAAACTCGTTACGTGCCGCATTGCGCGAGAAAATAAAACAATTTTAATTACAATTCTAAAAATAGCTAACTATATACAAAATTCGTAAAAGTATTCTTCGTTACATCAATTATTGTCATGGTACTCTATTTATTATTATTAAGAAGTTCGAGTGATCTCTTTTTTCTGAACAGAAAATGTTTGGCAGATGCTACGTTAGCTTACGTCAGAGCTTGAGCTTTTTAAATCAAATCCAAAGAGCTCAAAATGAGATTCAGTGGAATGGTGAAATGCGAAAAATATTCGAAAACGAACTTATTCAATTAAATGAGAAAAATCAACATTATAAATTATCATCATACGCATACTTCAAGTTTTCTGTTCCATGAGATTCTGCAATGTTTAACTGGGCTGAATATTGCAAAATAGTCGAAATTCTACGAAGGATACGGACCACAAAATGACCCTATTTGCATAAATGAATTGAGCCTCCAGACGCGTATATGACGATCAGAATACTGCTCACAGAATCGGGACTCCTGAAAAGACGACATTGTGCCACTCCTGTATCCAGCTTTGTCGTTCGGCGCACCAGCGTCCTCGTCTCTCTCTATTTTGCATTGTCAAGGGAAGACGAACGAATGGTCACCGTGTTGATAGCTCACACTGCTGCAAACATCAACGCACCATACGAGCGGATACTGGGCGTGCTTCAAACATGCTCATTTCCTGATTAATTGTCTGTGATGTGGTTGTACAGTTTTTCAGGCCTGACCTCTGAATATGTGTGTCCTCTCAGGAGTTAGTCATGGGAGGGCGTTTAGATCTTACATGCCGTTCGGTATCATGCATACATGCCTCAGCAACCCATTGATTCCATATTCGCATGGCAGTGGTTGGATGTCGACCTGTGCGACGGGGGATATCAGGGAGCAATAATCCATATTCTCGATAGGCAATGATCCTGCCTCTATCGAATCCAGACAGTTACTGGTAAACATTTCTTCTTATTATTCGAGGCATAACACGGTATTCTGAGCAAACTCCGACCTTACAAAGCACTTTCCGAATGAGAAATCCACTACACAACTTTTCGTTTATGCAGTGCTTCAGATTTTCTCCCTCCTGTGTCGTCTAAATGCGCTGAAATACTACATATTTGCGTATCCCAAGCTCTTCTTCTTTTCATGTGATTTTGACGTTCGTCAGATCACCGTACATTTGCATTTGACAGCTGTTTCAAAACGTATGAAATTCGTTGTATAAAGTCTTCGTTGCGCAAGATGGCGAGGGGACATAAATGCCTAGAAGCGATTTTTATAGCACCAGTGAGTTACGCCTGTGGTCAAACATTTATTAATGTAAAATGTTGTAATGCTCCCTATACCTTCCAAAAGATTTTGCAGAATATTTTTTCCAAAGTTTTCACTCGGTCAGCGGTTATGGTAATTCAGAGAATCTTTTTTTTTAGGTTTAGGGTACCCGATTATTACAAGGAGTAAACATATCGTTTTTTACCAAACCTTTAGACTGAAAGCAACAAATTGCGTCTCGTTCCTTGCAGGAACGTCTGTAATTCTTAATGGTCACATTAAAACTACTGTTTAGTTCAAAAAATTTTAATTTCAGTGGAAATCCAAAATCAGTTTTCGAGAATCATTTTCAGTGGAAAGGTTTAGAATGGTCAGTTAAAGAATATAGACGTGATAATAGCTGCATAATATCTTAGAAGTAATTAAGGATTTGTTCTTGTCCGGATAATACATTATGCAATAAACCTGATGACTTAAACACTGACTAAGTGAATGAATGAGAGTGAAACAATTAATAAAATCGTGTTTTCGTGTTTCATTTTTCGATTCATCATTTTGGACTGAACGAAGATCAGATCATTTCCCTCTTGATGACTCTCAAAAATTTCCAAATATACCGAAGCCGACCGGTCGTTATAAAAGTGATTTATTCTAATTCAGCAGGGCATCTAATTACTATGAAATTTTTCCCCTTAAATTCCGGTTGATCTGAAATCTCCTAAATTCTGTGAAACTTCACATATTGTCAGTATATGGTCGCATATTAGCATGGTTTAGAAAAAACGATGGGCTTTATGTGTAAAAATTAGTAGTTTCCTATTAAAATTGAAAATCTAGATTTCATTTCGATACACGAAATGATTATTTTTCAGAGTGTACCGAATATAATAGGGAAATTATAAAGAAGTTGTTTACAGGGGTCTGCTTTAAAAGCAGGTGGCTACGGTAATTTACAGAAAGGTGTTATGAGTTGAGAATACCAGTTGCTATTGATACTGTAATTAGTTTACATATTTTATGTAGAGCTGATATAACGTTTTTCAGTGTGTTTTTTCCAAAATGTAAATTCCTTTTCTCTAATGTTTTACTTTTTATTTCAAAACGACAGGTTGGACTTACTACCTAGCCATTATTGGAACTATCGTTACTTTTATCTGCTCCTTACTCTCCATACAAGCAGAAATCTCAACTTCCAGCACCAAAGTTCAAGATGGCCTCATTGAGGGCAAAAATGTCATATGCCTCATATGATCGCCCACCTACGCATCCTGCATCTCTTTTGATTCAAGATAGCTGTCGTGTTCATCGCCGTCGACAATGGAGCACTTTTTTATGTGTGGTTTTTTGCATCACTGGACGATGGGTGAATAGCGGAGCAGTCATCCATGTGACAATCTTTCACCTATTTATTGTAAACAAAATTGTTCTAAAATAAAACAAATGGTGAAGGGAACTGGGATACAATGGGCATTATTACTTTCTTATGGAAGATTGAACTTTTATAAATTCCAATGCATATTAGACCTTTTCAGTTTTTAAATAAAGGCTTTAATATAGCTTTTTGTTTTCTGCGCTTAAGAATAACTCACGCTGCAAACTGTTTATTTTTTCCTTCATTAAACGTTGGGATGAGAAGGGTTAAGCTTTCCCCCTCTCGGACATTTGCTGAACAAAACCCATCATTTGTAATCAGTAATTATATGTTCTTCTGAAGTTTCACATTTGTCTTGTTAATGAGCTCATTTTTTAACAGCTACAGTTCAACATTATCTTCCACATGATACCAGCTTTCAAATGAAATGTGCAGATATTTTTAATGTGATGAACAATAGATGGAATACAGAACCACAGGAAGTTCAAAGAGACGGTTGAACGTGTAACTGTTGACAAAGACTGAGTGTAACATTGTTTCTGAATTATTTGAAATATATCTTTATAGTATTTTAACTATCATAATTTGTTATCCGGTGTATTTAATAACGTAAGTACTAATTAACAATATGAACAGTAACTTGTACAACTTGTATGCCAGGTAGATGAGTAAATACAAATGTTAAAAGCATATGTAAATTGTTGCGCATATGTTATGAAGTTCGTAATATTAAAATAAACGTTTCAAACTCAGTGCGGTATTGTAGCAGAAAACAAACTTTCAATAGTTTGATTTTTATGTTTAAAAAAGAAAAACATAGAAAAGTTTTCTTTCATTCATGGAAGAATGCTATGTTGGTAAAATTTTAGTGCTGAAGTATTCATGAGTTTTAAATGTCTTTATATTTGTATATGCTAAATATCTGAAGCAGGTAAGATGAATGACAAAAATGTTAATTCGCACTTCTGATTGTTGTAACACTACTTGATGTGTTTTCACCTTGTTCAATGATACTTGTGATTTTACTATAGCGTGTACTCAGCATTTGTGTTTAAAAATTACTTCCACGTTTAGTTAATTTTAATGCTATTGTTACTTAATAAGAGAAATATAGTTGAATGAAAAGTTAATTATTTTTGTGAATACTATTTAAACAAAAATTGCATTTGTTATGAAGAAATTAAGCCATAAAGTGAAAAAGAGGACCTTTTATCACTAATAATATAATATGCGTTTTATTCATTACAAAAAGTTAATTATTTATGATGAATAATACGTTAATATAAGGAACGTATTGTGTATTTGTGAACTCTTGTGTTTTTACAATTTAAACCTTTAATTTTTTCAAACTCGCAGTTACTTTAGCATTTTTAAACTGTTGTATTTTAGACATAGGCCCCGTGAAGTGTTTAATATTAATAATCAATTCTATTTTAATTAAAAAATTATATTTAAAATTAAATTATAGAAGTATACTTTAGTAGAATTTATGATTAAAGACATAAAAATATATGTCTATTTTTCTATAGCACAGGTAGAAGTTTTATAACTTCTTACTGTACTTTTGTTATTGCATTTATAATAGAAATAACTTTCTTGAAGTTAAGAGGATGTACAAACTATTTGAGCATATTAAACTATCGAATTTAATAACTTCATGTATTACCCATTGGAATTAATATATCAATTTATTCCTTTTAAGAGCTCTTTGGCATATCTATGGATGGTTTTATAATTAATATAATTAATTCAAAAAATGCAATTAAACTGTATTCATGTAAAATTTACGCTGTGAGAACAAATTAAACTATTTATATTATTTTCCAATATACTATAGCAATATCTAGCTTATAACTAAGTAGAAATTTCAAAATTTGTTAAAAAGGCGTATAAAAATTACTATCGCAATTAAGATTTGAATGCATTATCAAATTCACTTCTGGAACAAAAACTGCATTTACAACTCGAAACGGCAAACGCAGCAAAATGAAGTTTTCAGATTTAGGTTCATTCGATCATGACAGAATACTTGAGGACTATCTGCCTATTGGATGGAAGCCTTCGTGCCTTTTTAAGAGAAACTGGCTAGTATCAACGTTGCACATGAAAAACTACGAAAATGCCGATGTAGCTCCGTGCGCCTGGATCGAGCTACCAGTGTTCAGATCTTTACCGCTCGGCCGCTGGTGGGCCAGCAAAATAATGGAAAATTGTAATTAAAATTATTGTAGTTAAATAAACTTTTCTTTTCTAATAAACGTGTCAATAATCTTATGCTTCTTTTACGCTTTAAAAAGCAAAATTGCTGTAAGTAATTGATATATGAAAAGACATAGCATCAACTGTAGTAAAGATATCTTCTAAAAATATGGAAAAATATTTTAAGATTGGTAAGGCAGTTAATTGCTCTGCTGTGAATTACGTTAATTCCCAAAACACTACATTAATTCGATACAGATCACTGTTATTATAGAACCTTTTTTGATTAAAAGCAATTATGTTGTAGTTAAAAATAGTTCCCTATAGCAATGTGATATACATCTTCATAAATAAATTAGAATAATTATATACTCTTTATAACAAATAAATGTTCTTAAAAAACTTCAGATAATAACGTAATCAATAGTTTTCAAGTCCGATACCCTTAAATCTAAGTAAGTTGCTTGATATCATTTGCATCATATACAGTTCCAGTATCGTAAAACTAGGAAACCAGATATTTATTAATGTTTGGTCTTAAACATCTGAAGTAAACAAAACTTTTAAACTGGGCTAAAAATAAGTATTTATTGATGCTGCAACTAAAAACGTTGACTATTATAAATCCATCTACACTACCGAACGGAAACTGGTTTCGCCTTTATGATAGCTATAAATTCTGAGTAATCGTTTGTTGTAGAAGAGAAATGTGAGGGTGAATTTCTTTTTTCTGGGTACTTTGCTATCGGAACCTTGCACGAAATTAAATTCATAAATTTCATCGATATGTTTTTATTATCAGTACTTCAGCCAAGTTTCTATTTATTTTTCGCATGAACTTGTAAATTTTTTTCGGTTTCTTTTCTGACTTGTTTCTGGTATTTACTTAACATTTTAGGCTAGTATAACTATTCTGAAACCAAATTCTCAACCTATTTAACATAAATTATAAAATACTTAACATGATTCAAACAAAAATTTAGAAATGCCAGATATCCCAGAAATCAAGTATCATAAGAAATTTTAAACTTTTAAGAAATCTTTTCAAATGAATCCTTTTTTGTTTACTGTCTGCAGATCCAGTCCGTATTATAACAGCGGTAACACATTTACAATGGCAATATGATCTATTAGATAAGTTCTTGCAGATGCGTAGTATGATTTTACCAGTACTGTTCTGGACATAAAAAGATTAGTTTTTAGAGTGATGCTTGATTATGAAAGCCGAGCTATGGGCTTTGTTGGAGAAATTCCCCTCTCTTTCAGGGCTTAACCAGATCATGAAAGCTGGCATCAAGGTATTTTCTTACGATTGTGGCACATTCTGATCTCGTTGATGCTGAAGGTAATGGGATTGTCTACAGAATTCGAACCTAATAATTTGCCATTGTAGCTAAATACTTTTAAGTAATCGAGAAATATTAAATTGTTATAAATATTTCAATTACGAACGGAGTGTATCAACGGATTTAAGTCTTACTATTTTTGTTTAAAATTCTCTTTAAGTGTTTACTTTAATAAAACAGGTGAATTTTACCAGTGTATGTGGTAACAGCAGCAGAGAGGATGGACCATAGATCTCCTGATAATTGCACTTGGAAAAGGTTAGTAATTTCTTCAATATATTGATTAGGCTTTGCCTAATATTATTACTGATTACGTGTGTAACAAAAATGTAAAACTCATTATGCTTGTTATCAAAAACTTGTGCTAAGGATACAGACTGAGCGTTTCCTTCGAAGATATTTTATCAGAGTCTCAATACAGCGTACTGTTAGTCATCCTAATACCCACAATTGGCAACAGAATTTAAAACTTGAGGCAAAAAGCTAAAACATTATGTGCTGCAGAGTACGATACATGTTAGAACTTTTTCTTTCTGGATGGACTTAAAAGATAAACCTGCTTTCAGTGCAAGTGTTACCAAACGAAACCCATTAAAAAAATCAGAGGAATATATCGCGGTTGAACAGTTTTAGGGATTTGAGCTAAATCCCATTCCAGAGCAAGAATCACCTTGTGGTGTAAGCAGTCGTACTGCAATGTTCTAATGCAGAATCTGCTATTTTAATCTTGACTGCGTTCACAAAATTTCATGTGACTTGTCAAACGTTTGTTTAGTTGATTACGAAAATATGAAAGACCACTAGGATAACTCGAAATCCATTCGAAACACGTCGTTTGCAAGTATACTTGTTCGCAAATCACTTTATTACTAGTAAAGTTTCACCGCTGAATATTCCAAACACATTTATTTTAATAATGCAAGGTAAATAACTTGTTTTTTCATACGTAAATGTAACTGAACGGAGGTGTCTTCAGAAAAGATAACTACTGTTTTTTGCTATTTTTAAATGCTCAAAATCTTAAAAATAGTTATATTAAAGTATACCAATTTCAAATATTCAATCACAAAACACAATACGTGTTCAAACTAGAAAGTTTTATTAGTGTTATCTTTGGCTTTTCATAGCAGAATTTATCAAACTCAGTATCAAATATTCTGAATAAAATATATTCATAATTTCATCAACCAAATTCGAAGACTGTTGTAACATTTTCCAGTTTAGTTTATGTATGTTACGTTCTGAATAGTTGTTTCTTAACTTTGCTTCTGGTGGAATAACGTATGAATATTTTGTATGCTGTAAAAATAATGCGCAAAGTTGTTTCTGTGTTTGAATACATGTGTAATATCAAATATCTATATGTATTGAAATAATTTAAAATTTGAATTTTTCATGCCATGACACACTGGAAGAAAAAAGCTTCTTATATATATATATTTTATAAAACTATTGTTCCAACGACAGTAATAAACATTACGTTATAGGTATTGTAATATTAATTTAGAAGAGATTTTAAAACATCTTTGGTAGAGATATTACATTTTAGTCATTTTATAAAAGTTCTTCGGCATTAGAGTGATATTTTAAGATTTTGTAATAACAGAAAATATGTTTATAAGATTAGTAAATGAACTATTTCGATGTATTTCTTAGTGTCTGTTGCCTTGCGAAATGTTCTGAAATGGATATCATGTGTGTTTTTAAATTTTGTTTCTTGAATTGATGGGTGCAAGATACATTTGTGCAAATCTTATCATTTTTAATGATCTGTTGTAAAATTTGCAGCTGGATATGGTAAAATCATAAATAATATTAAACATGCAAGCAAGTGCTCAACTGTATTTATGTTAATGTTTGCAAAGCAGGCTTTGCAAAAGCTCTGCACGAGTAAAGAAAATAATTACATTATGTAAGACCTTTGTTATAAAGTAGATTTAACTTTATTAAAAGAAAACACTCTTTACCTGATAATCAAACTCTAATAATGCTTATAAGGTTAAACCTCTTGACAACTGCATCTACTCGAAGAGGAATTAACAAACTTGAAGCGCGTCTACAGGAAATTCTTACAGGACACATTACTTACAGGAAAATGGAGTGACTTTCAAATTATCATTAGCAAACAGATGAACCTTATTAGTATTGGCATTTTTCCGAGAAACTGAATGCTTAGGAACGTTTCTTTTTTGAGCCCGGAAGTTAGAAATGCAGACCTCAGCTCGAATTATCTCTGAAGTATGGAAGAAAAGAGAATGCCAGAAACTTGCCGTCTGACTCACGGTACCGATTGATTAGTGGTAACCTTTTCAATAGTCATTCCACAGTTACTGGGCATCGTAAGGCCAATAGCGACATCTCTTTATATGCGTAGATCACCTTTTCTTTCGGAAATTAATGTTTTGAGTCATGACGAAAATGTATTTCAAATTTATCATGAAACATTAAAATACGTTCGACTTTAAATTTAACTTGAATTTAAAAATTGATTTCTAATGCCTTGCTCGTTGCACAATTAAATAATCACGATAAAGTAACTTTTTAGGAAATTTACGGCGCTCCATACCTGATGGAAAGTACTAAACATGTGGCCATGTGACCCCAGAAGAATGAAATTATTATGGCAATTATTGAGTTTTATATCAATAATTAAAACGCAGTGAAATATATAAATTATTCTTAATGAATGTGTCTGAATGATAAAAGAATTTTAACATGTAATTCTGAATTTAAAAATTATTGTTTATTTGATGTTAATTTTAATATAAATATGAATTTCCAGAAGTGTTAAAATACATAGCATCAGTGTAATCTGTTTAAGATTAAATAGGGTAATCGCTCTGAATCATCTATGATATATAAACAGTCAATCTCAAAATGTTTTTAGCATTTATATTAGGTTCAAATCCAATATTATTTAAGTCGTATGTATGAGTTAGAAATATCTGCTGTGCTTAAAAATCATTGCTATGATAAAAGTCCAGAAATAGTTTTTAATATTTCACATAACGATGTCAAAGTTTCTGAGGAACATTCAGAAGTTCATGCTTGTCACTTCTGAAAGAGCAGACGTGTCTATAAATCCAAAATCTTTCAAAGCGCAGTTTAATTCTTAAATGATTATAGTACTGTTTAATTCATATGATTCACGAAACCAATTACGTCTTAAATTCAATAAAATTAATCATTGTTTCATTGGAATGTTTTGATGCATATATTAATTAAAAAATGCTCTTTTCCATGAAAATTAGCATTTCTAATTTAAATTAGAGTTTCACTATGCATTTGCAACCAGTATTCACATGGGCTGCTCAATAGATCTTAAACAAGCTGGTAAAACCATGATTTGAGAAAAACAACCCGTTCAGTCAGAAACACCGTTAAAAAAAGATTTCAGAAGTATTTGTTTGAACAAGTAAAAAACAAAAACGTGAATGTATTGACATTTACTGAATTGCTTCCTTTTATTTCATAAATTATATATTCCTTGTAGTGTCAATGTTATTATTATGCCTCTTCAGAAACCCAGAAAAATATCCATAACACGACAATGTATATAAGATGAAACTCAAAGATTGTGTTTCCTATTTACTAAATATAAATATACTTCAGAATATTTCACAATGCGTTTGTTATTATTTTAGCTATCTAGCTATACTTTCTCCATCTCATAACATATTAAGATTAACATATTAAGAACATTAACGTATTAAGAACGCGCAGATTCAATAAGCAAACAAATGTGAAGCAAATTTCTTACAGCATAAGCTGGTTTTTATGATTTTAACAACAAATTTATTGCAACGAACTCTGACATTACAGCAGACAGCTTCACTTCAGTACTTGCAATCATGTACTGAATCTAACTAATACCCTAAGGATTCCTACTTGACCGTTTTCGTAACTTAAAAATATATCAGCTTCTAGGCTAGGACGGTCAAGTCCATTTGCAGAAGCTACATATTTAAATGTCTATATTGTTAACTTTAGTAGCCCTACAAGGACAATAATTTGCTATCCAACCGTAAGCTCGATGCTTAGCAATTAATTATTACATGCGCATTTTTCTTATTAGTTTTATTCTTTCTCTCATTTACATACTTTTGAAGTGCATGTATGGCATGAGTTTAGTTTTAATTATGGCATTGCACTTGATGACCTAATGGAAAAGATGCCTTCGTGGAGGAGTTTGTAGGAGAAACTGGCTCGTATCCGCGTTACACACGGCAAAAACCACGAAAATGCCCATGCAGTCAGCCCGTTCGCTTGGAACCAAACCCGGGTCTAAGCACCAGTGTTCAGTGACCTTACCACTCAGCCGCTGTTGGGCTCCGTCTGAAATGAAATTAGGTTAGGTTACTTGATTAGGTAAATTACACGAAAGCTAGCTGCTTAAAGGAGAAAATACCTTCGTGGAGGGCTTTCTAAGAAAAACTGGTTCATATTCACGTTACACACAAGCGGAAAACTAGAAAACCAACCATGTAACTGCCCAGTCGCCTGGGACTGAACCCGGGTCGAACTCTTAGTATTCAGCAATCTCAACCACTCTGCCATTATGTGAATGAAGTGAGCAAGAGTAGACAGAAATAAAAATCGAAGATTAACATGGTAGCGAAAATAGTAAAATCCTTAAATGGTAATTAAGCTGCTATTCTTTCAAGATGGTTTTGTCTTATTAAATGCCTTATTTCAAGAAGGTTTTGCCTTATTATTATTTAATGTAAATTTCCAATAGGTCTTATCTTCAGGAGCTAAATTTTTCTGGATGAACGTTGTGATACGATTACCGTAAAAATCCTAGTGTTAGGGTGATCGAATGAAGCGATTTATAATCAAGGTGATGACATTCGTGTTACAGACAATAATTCTGTGTTCAGTAAGATCCGTTTGTTATGAATATTGAGCTCAGCATTTTCTCTTATTTTGCTGTGACTTATCTCACTTTTCTGACAATAAAATCAGATCATGTCCGTGAGTGTAGGGAAGAGGCAAGGATTATGCGTGTTATTGGCTTAAGCCTTGGGCACCGTACACTACGCGTCTTCTCAGTTCCACTCCAGTTTTGGAAGAGGATTTCCCTGAGACGGACTAGAGGGTCTCCCACTCCTCTTCCGCTTCCATGAGCCTCTCGAAAGGCCTTTATTTCTTGGCGGTATTTTAAACGCCTCACTGCCACCATGTCAACAGGGCGGTATATCATTTTCTAATTCATTTAGTATGTTTCTAAAATGCTTGCCTTCAGGAATATTTTACAAGCAGAATTTAATTTTTTTTTCAATAAGTAACTAATCCCTGTCCTAATATTTTTAGTAAAGCTAGTCATTCCTTAATAACGACCATTATCGTTTGCATCAGTATATTTTAATGCTAAATCAAGCAAGTTAACTAATGTTTCTCTTCCCTTTTAAAGTCTTTGGAGACTCAATGAATGATGTGTAATAAATTTATGCTTTAAAATTAGTTTATAACGTGTAATCCATTATTTAATATAAATGTGAAATTTGTTTCGGATGCGAAGCAATGTTGGTCTTATCACATGAGCATTAATTAAATTAGATTTGAAGCCATCCCTTCTCAAATACTTAAGCGAGATAATTAGATTTAAGCAGCAACATGTTGTCATTCAATTTGGTACTAAATTCCCGTTGCAACTTGTCCTTGCGAATCTTCGAAATTAAGGGACTGTAACGAGGCTTTGAAATAATCTTTGAACACAGCTATCGCGACTTTAATTCGCTTCTCGTGGATATTTCGTAACAAATTTCAATTAATTCGTAAATGTGCTAACTCAAATAAGCGTCGTAATATTTTGATAAATGTAATGGTTTCGTTTATTGCAAAAGTTCAATAACATTGATAATGACAATTTTCATTTTTTAAAAATTTTGTAATGATCTCCTTTAACTATCAAATAAGCCATAAACGAAAACTATAGCTTTGGGGGTTAGTTGAGATATAAGAGTTCCACTAAGACATGTTTTGCGTCTTAATTTTTTTTCTTAAGACTGTCATTGAGGAATGTACAGTATTATTACAGTATACAGTCATTGAGGAATGTACAGTACAATAGTCTTAGGTATTATACAGTCGATCTGCCAAATAGCGTCAATTATGAATAACCACTTCCTTTATAATTCCGCAGTAATGAATGGCGATTGACAACCGTTGCTGAAATTTCCGCCAGTGTTATATATTAGTTAATAATATGTAAGTACCCATGCTTTTTCCAAAACTATCTTCTATGTTAATTTCGCAGTTTTCATCGAGAAAATAGAAAAAAAATTAAGTTGCTTTATAACACTAATATAAAATTACTTAAACTTTACCTGATTTTTTTACGTGTATTCAGTTATCAAAACCTAAAATCATAAATCCCTGAGAATTTCGCAGTTTCCATAGCTGTAAGCTCTACGAGGCCACAACAGTCTTTACAAAGATTAAGGTTTTTGCAAAAATTTCTTGCATCCAGCCTTCTTGTACTAAAATGACATTATCTTAAGTGTATTTTTAGATTTTATATAAAACATTAACCTGTTTAATTTAGAATGCTGAAAAAAATTTAATAATTTAGTGTATGTTTATGAAATTGCTTGACATTTTTTCCTATGTTAGAGAACTAACTTCGCGATGTTTGCAACTATGCTGTTTCTCTTGCACTTGTTATGATATATAATTTGTGATTGAAATGTTTACAAGTGAATTTGTTATCTTAATAAAATGTATATAAAAATAGTGTTTTTTTTAATGTCTGCAACGCAAAATCGAGTTACATTTTCGAAACTGCTATTTGTAGTACCTAAAGTAAATACTTTTTAGCCGACAGAAAAATTTACACATTTCAGGAATACGTAAATTATAAACTTTTAATGACCAAATGCATAGACGAAAGTTAGAGCCGTTGGCAACAACGACAATCATGGAATGTCTACGAATTGTTTTAAGACATTAATAAGAGATTATTGTTCATTGTAAAAAAGCTTCAAATGCTAGGAATTTTCCAGCTGGGCTTATATCGCTCGCTGGTTGGTTCTGATGATATCTCCTTCGATGTTTCTGTCCCAGAAGCAGTAAGAGGCCCTTGAGGAGTCACTGGGTAGTTGAGATATCTGAAGGCCTAGGTACAACAAGTACGTGAACATTTACCTATTTATACAAAACATTACATAACAGCATCTTTAGAAGAATCATATCAACCATCTCTTCATATACATGTCAGTCCAGCTTGTATGCAATTTGTTTTATATTGCAATGAAACGTGCAAAACGCAATTTATTAACCTGTCGTTAATCATTACCTTATTCGTTTTCGAATGCGACGTTCAATCGAAGTCTACGAATAGGAATTCAAATAATACTTATCCCTGTCAGTAAGGAGGGGTGAGCAAACTTGAAGGGGGTGTTGAATACAAAAAAAAAAAAAAAAAAGGGGTTGGAGGAAGGCCCGAAGGAGTATTAGAAAATGGTGTAAAATTACGGAATGGAAATAAAAAGTAAAATATTTCCCCCAAAGAAGGCTTTATTAGATTATTTATTACCGCAGATCTCTGGACGACTAACTAGACTTCAGTTAATAGCATTAGGTTATAAATAATAAATATCGCACATATATTATCTCATATGGAATTCAACTTCCTATGCGAGTTTTATTGCTCGTTTAAAAGGCATCCTTACTTGCACTAGATGACTAAGAAAAAAAGTGCTTCAGGAACTTCTGGCGACTGAAATTTTACGATGCATGTCGGCGCCAGGATATTTGGCTTGGCTTTCTTGATTTGAACCGCTTGGCCTAGTGCCATCAGCACGAAATTAATGATTTGGCGACACGCGAGAAGTTTTCTTTTCTTTGGAAAATTTCCCTAGATTTAGCTTATTTAAGGAAATTTTCCAGTGTTTTTCGCTAAGCAAGTTCGGTTTCGTAATATTTGAAAAATAAAATCTGTTACAAGGAAGCAAAACTCAGTTTGCTAAAGGCACGAGATACTATTTGAATATAGGTGCATTCATAGGTAAAATAGATTATATATAAAGTAAACCATGCGGTACTTAACCAAATGACATTTTTGAGAGCATTTCTGTTTCTTGCTTTTAGAATCTGCTTGAAGTGACTAGTTTCGAAAGTTAAAACAGGTAATAAATTACAAAATTTCAGGTATATAAATCTTAAACCGTCCCCGAATGAAAAATGAACACAATGATAACTCGGTTGTATTACTTGCGTTTTGAATCAAATAAAACGAAAGTAAGTAATCTGTCAAAAATTTTTAGACTGCACATTTTCACTAATTTACACCGAGCCAAACGAAACCTCGGGACAGTGTTTGCCAATACTTCTCAATTGCGTCTAAAAAATATCATGTGTTTGCGAAAAGCATTTTAAAAACAAAGCTTTTAGTTTTATTTTTTGCAACTGATACCTGTTACTCGTTTATTGACTGAACAAGGAGAAGGACTGAAAAGTTTACAAGAAAGCTGGTAAAAGTGCTAGCTAATTTTTATTTTGTTATATTGCCCCTTTACGCAGTGCAGTAATCATTAAGCTATTTAAAGAATGAAACATGAAACTATTCTTGATTATTCTTCTTACTCACACAAATACAGAAACGTAATAGAATGGTATTATATATTAGCGAAACCAGATTGGTGCATTTCGGCAGATTTGTTTTACACAAGAAAAAGGGGACGATGACATAATCACAAAAAATTGGTTATTACATATGTATACATTTAATCATACATATAATTTACATTTTAGTTACGTATTTATCCCGAAAATCAATCAGTAAACCTATTTACAGGCAGGATTTTGATTCTTTTCTTTTCTTGAAAATTTCGCAGCGATTCAAAGTAACTGTTCCCTTTAGCGAATTTGCTACAAAAGGTTGTTTCCTGCAGAAATTTTGCAGCACTTTCTTCCATTGCAGACAAATTCCACAAGCACATATTTTAAAACTGAGTTTAAGGACATCTATTAACACTACTTATCTATGGAAACCGTTCAAATACAACAAGAAACATACGAAAATGGCAAAGTTTCTTGTTAATACTGGAGAAGTCTTGCGCGCATGGTTGCCACGGTTTGGCACATTATGAAAACTTGGCGATTTCTACTAAAGCGATAACGCTAATATCTAAGAACCATCTAAAAGTAGTCTGCAGATTTCATACCCGCAGACTGTTGTGTATTTTTAAAATGAACATTAAAGGGCAGTATTTTAAGACAATTTAAAAAATGCAGAAGAACAGGAGGAAAATGTTTAAAAGCTCTAGAAAAGCAGATAAATATAAATTTCTATATGATGCTAAATTTACGCGGGAAATGCTTTTCCAAGTAACAGATTTACCATAGTCACAACTCGGGGGTAGTAAAAAAAAAAAAAAAAACTACAGCCGTAGCTATCATACATTTAACTAAAGCAGCGATTCTCAACCGGTGGTACGCGTACTACTGGTGGTACACAAGAGAAAAATAGGTAGTACGCAAAGAAACAAAGTATTTTTAACTATTAAATTAAAAAATTAAATATATGCTATCTGAGCTTTATTCAAGGTCAATAGCCGCTCATAGACTTTAGAAAAATAATCTGTTTTTGTTTTCACAAATATTCTTTTAGCAATAGACATAATAAAATTTGTCATAAATGATGTTTCTAAAGGAGTAATAGAAATTGGTGTTTTATTTAATAGGAAATAAAAATAAGTTCCTATAAAAAGATAATAGTATCTCATTAAATCTTTTAGAGTTTATCGATTTATTAGCATGTCTGCAATTTATATCGCCGCCATTTCCGAGCTCGTATGGCTCTATTTTCAATTCAAATCATTCTTTTACGTCTATTTGCTGTCTCTAACAGCAGGTACTTTGTCTTCTTGTTGCTTTGTATTCCTTACTTTACTATGCGATTTGACAATATCGTCATTTGATTTTGAAGAACTCGTAATACATTGCGCATTTAAATATTTGTGAAAAATAATAAAAAGAACTTAGATTTTCAAAATGAAAAAATCGCTAGGATTGAATAAGTGGAAAAGTGAATGGATCCAGGAAAATCTACTAGCACTAAGAATATTGAAAAGAAAAGAAAAATTGTTTATAGGAAATATAACGAAAGCTATTTATCATTTGAGATTACCTGGAATGGAGATAAAATATTCCCTCAACCTCAATGTGTTGTTTGTGATGGACTATTATGCAATCAAAGTATAAAACCACCGTTTCTTAAAACTTTCTTAAAACCATCATTTCTTTTTGTTTTAGATGGTACGTGTTAGTTCGCTGAGCTAATGATTTAAAATACGACATAACCTATCTATTTTTACCATGATTTTAATTATCGACATCTAAATACGAATTTCGAACACCATATAATAGTGTATTTGATTGCTAACACAGCATCTAAGTGTCTGTGAAGTGAATACAGTATAGAAAGCAACTAAAACTCTATATACACTGGTTTCCAAAAGCTAAGAAAAAATCACAAAAATAACGATAACTTGTTCAGAAATAAGCCAATCCGTACAAAATTTGAGTATGTTGTCAAAGAAGAATTGTTGAGTAAAATTGCAGCATGCAAATTAGTGGCGATGCATTTGAAATACGTCATCTGCGAGAAGCATAAAATTGTATGTTTGAGAGCAAACTTTTAAATTTCTCTTGATAATGAGATAAGAAATCTGGGATAGCCAGTTTGTGACACTGACCTCCAAGCATCATTTTCCCGAAGAACTGCGATGGTTTGGTTTAGTTTGGTTTATAAAATTACGGCAAAGCACTCGAGGGCTATCTGCCTTAAGGGAGGGATGCCTTCGTGGAGGACTTTTTAATGGAAACTGACTCGTATACACGTTACACATGGGGAAAACCACGAAAACACCCATGCAGCCAGCCCGTTCGCGGGATTCGAACCTCGGGCCGAACTACCAGTGTTCAGCGATGTTACCGCTCGGCCGCTGGTGGGCGAATTGCGATGGAGAACTATTGGGAGAAACGCAGACAGAAGTGACCAGAGGGCTAAATGTTATTTCTGCTATGATTCATAGTTCCTTGGCAATAGTTTCTAACCACAAATGCAGCATTAACCTTTACTGCTGTGAGCGGTCTGAGAGACCGCTGAGGATTTTCTAACCGTGGTTTCCACCCCTAAAAATAGAGAATGGTCCTTTCCAAACCTACCTTTCCAACCCGTCCCACAAGTCACATATCCATTTTCACACTTCTCGTTTTATTATGGTTTCAGTTATCACGTTTTTTACTTTTTAAGTGGTCTGGGAGACCAGTTTCAGTGAACGATAGACGTTATTTATTGGACGCTTGTTTTTCGTAAAAGTGATAAATATGGCCTCAAACTTTACAAGAAAACGTCCCGTATATTTCACTCAGAAAGAAATTGAATATCTTGTCAACAATATTTTTGATGTAGAAGACTCTGATTCCGAAGAATCATGTAGTATTCACAGCGAAAACAAAAGTGAATCTGAGCTTTCTGCAGATGAATATCATAATTTTTCTAATGACTGTGAACAAAAATGATAATTTTTATGGGAAAAAGGCACTTCAACTGCAGCAAAAATGATCCAAATCGGGCCAAAAAAGCTCCAAATCAAAGCATAACATAATAATTCAGCTTCCTGGCCTGAAACATCCTGCAAAAATAGGCTCTAGAGCAGAGCCCGAAGATACTTGGAATTTATGTTTATACATATTGTTCCAGTCATATCCTGATGCTACAAAACTGAA